GGCTCCGCTACCAATGTGAATCCTATATGGAACCTGTCCTTCTGGAGTCCTAGACTGTCCTCAGTCACCCCTGTCCCTAGACACCGAACCCCTGGTTTCTCCTCGGTGTAAATGCCTCTGCCCACCCACCACTGCATTGAGACGGCGAGTCATCAACGGTCATCAACCATCAATGGACAAATCACAATAATATATATATACACATACAATACACTCAATCCTTGAGGAAGAAATAGGACAGATTCTAGGCTCTATTTCACTAGCCCTTTCCCATTTGAGCACCGTTTGAAAATAGGACAGTTGGGAGGGAGCCTCGGAGATCGGAGTTTCGAGAGAAAGCCGAGAAGCGATCTGTGAGGCCTTCAAAGCAAGCCTCCACCAATCCACTACCGCCTAATGTGTCTCGACTAAATTGCAGGGATAAAGGAATCGAAGGAAACTAGGAAGAACGAGGGTCTAAAGTCTAAAGAAAAAGACAAAGGAAAGAACAGGCAGAGAAAAGTTCCAAAGCGTTGAAGGTTTAGAGAAGAAACGAAGAAAGGACTTTAAGGGACCCTTAAAGGACGCTTCGAGAGTTTCGACCGAAGTGGTGACAGCTCAGGTGGACCGGCGCAGCTATGAGGCGCGCGCACATGTTTGCATTTTTTATAGGCGCTAATTGTTATATATATATATATCTCTCTCTCTCTCTTTGTGTCTGTCTGTTTGTCTGCCTGTGTCTGTGTCTGTGTCTCTGTCTCTGTCTCTGTCTATTTGTCTCTCTGTCTCTCAAGTAAATCTTCCTTTCAAATGTTGTAGAAGTACAGTCTTGTCCTCCAATCATAGCCATAGCTTTACCATCCAGTTTCTTCTTTACAATCAACAAGCCTTCAACCGTTTGCAGGGCCCAAGCGTGCTTGGAGAACATTCCATCGGCAGGTGTGGCGCCGGGACGTGTCACTGAAGTCCTTGCTGGCCTTTGAGGCGGAGGTGCGAGAATAAACGAATACTACAGTAAGAGTCGCACATTTCGACAAACGATGAATTCGACGAAAAGTAAACGGAGGATTCTTTGTGAATTCTGGTGCTTTGTGTGAGTAGTTTGTTGTCATGGTTGCGGATTGATGCTTTCTGTGTACAGGCCAAGTAGATTTTATTTGATACAATGGACTTCCACTCGGATGCACTTGTCCTTCCAGCACAAAGAACTGTGTTTGCCAGCCAGGTAAAAGCTCGTCAAGAGTCCTCAACAACGCAGAGGGCTTGTGATCATGATGTGAGTGAGGGCAAAATCCAGAGCCAGAGCGGGTGACCTTCAACAGCTGCCATCGAGCTAGCAACAGAGTGGTGCATGGCATCGAACACCAAGATCAAACTTATGACAATTCATCAGCATGTAGTCAAAGTGTCAGAAAGGCCGAGCAGCAGCTTTGCATTGTGTGCCATTGGTCAATTAATTATGTCTTACTTACATGTACTCTCCGTAGGAATAACATGCGCGGTGTCCCACTGATAGCTTTCAAAGTCAAGGTGTTTGACCTCTCCGCCCAGCCTTCCGTCTGGAGGGTGGGGGGTCAGACATCAAAAAAGAGATAAAAAGGGAGCCATCCCTGACGACTGGATCCCCTTTGTGGGGTGTGGTTGTTGGGGTATGGCCCAAGTGCTCTCCCCTTTCTCTCCAGGCTTCCCTTGTGGGAGCGAGAGAGGGTTTTTGTGCGTGTGGGTGTAGTGAAAGGAGGGGCCACCGAGGAGACGCTGTCCTGTTCCGAGAGGGGGCCCTGAGGGCCCTATCCCTCCAAGACTTGAGTCTGGAGGTGTTGGAACATGTTGGAACTATGGAAGCGCAGAAGATAAGGTTCTTTGAGAAAGGTGGCCTCTTGGCGCTGCTTATCATGAGAAGTGGCGCCAATCTTGGGGAGTGTTTGGTGCGGTCCACAAAGCCGGGGTCTGACGACGGCAAGAGGGGGAGACAGAGGGATGTTCTTCCCCTGCCGCAGGGTTGACCGGAGTGGATCGTCAGCGCTTGCAGACCCAAGGTCCAGACTCTTTTACAAGTACGTTGAGGTGCTAGGACCGTTGAAGATCTGGCGCGGGGGATGGACGTCTGGTCGCTTCTGATGGTCGAAAACGTGGTCGGAGATGAAGAGGATATGAAAGATATGAGTGAACAGCTTGGATGCCGACCCCTATACGTCTGTTCCAGCGGGCCTTTCTTGGGTTCGGAGACCGCGGCTGTACCATCCCAGTTTCCAGATTTCCCAGAGAGGCCACTATGAGCTGTACAAGGTCATAGTTTTCAACGAAGAGTTCGAACCTCTCAACTTGGTATGTGAGGAAGGCTGGGTCTGGCCTGCGGCCGAGGTGAGCAAAGACATACGGCTGCCAACATTCGCAAGGGCTATCTTACGGAAGAATCCGCCGAGCGATCCAGCAGGAATAGCCGAGACGGGACAAAGGTGCGTGTGGTTGAAATGAGAGGGGAACCAAGTGCACAGGGACACCCGATGAAGCCCACCTCATTGAAAAGACCTGGGCGACCTGAAACCTGTGTTGAAAGGTGTGTAAAAGTGCACGCGCACACTAAGGCCGGGACCAATGTGCACGCAAACGAAGAAAAGGATGAGATGACCAGACATGAAGACAGGAGGACATGAAAGAAAAGAGCAAACAAAAGTGTGTGAAGGGGAAGGGATGAAAGGGGAACCAAATGGAGGGGACGAAAACCGATGAGACCAAACCTCATTGCAACGACCTAGGTGACCTGCCTTGTTTCAATGTACACGCTGTGTGTGCGCCCAAGGTCGCGACAGGTTCCAATGAACCTCAAAAGTACTTCGGTCGCTCTGACCACGTTGAGGCGTTAAGCCAGCTTGGACCGCTGCAGTCACGTAAAGGCATGAGCTAGCTTGGAATTCCAAAGATGGGACAAACATCCAAATTCTTGTGGCATGAGCCAGCTTCGCCCGCTGTGGGCACTTACGTTTCCAAAGCAAGGGAAACAGCGACAAGCCCCCGTTCGACGGGTCCACGGGAGGCACTCTGCGGGCTCATCCCGGGTTGGCACGAGGCCAAACACACTTATGGATATGCGTACGGAACTGATAGCGGTGCCACACGCCGGCCTAGGGTTCCATTCCCTAGAGTATCAATAGGAAACCATCGAAACCTGGAGGTCTTAAAAGGAAAAGAGGCCAAAGTCTCAGACGACGAAGCGACAGGGTAACGGCGGTCGTACTTGTCTGCCGAGTGATGTTCTTGGCTTAGCCTCATGCCATGCAGAAAGGAAGGAAAAGCGCAGGTACGCCCAGCTGGCCAAGCTGGATATCCCACCAGACTGCATAGCTTTGTTAGACACGGTCTGCAATCTGGTGCCGTGTCCCCCTGTTGAGTAAAAACAACTCAAAAGAATCCCTGTGACTACAAGGGGCACACACACACTATATAACATTGAGTTTTACACTATAGCATGTTTGTACATATATATATATACACCTACACATTCAGACTATACAAACATACACTCAAACAATTGAATTATTCATTCTCCGGCTGTGCTTAGGTCCAGTGAAAACGAAGCAGTTCGCGATCGTGAGCTCCCTGCTTCATCGTTTTCTGGCTGCAATAACGGTTATTCAAAACAACCTCAAGGTTTCATATTTCTGGAGTCCAAATTTAGAAGGACGGCGTATGATGTCGAAACACTTCGGTTAGTTTCCACGGAGATGTGCTGTGGAATCCAAAGGAAATTACTATGTCGACATGTCGTCACCTGTTCGCGGCATGAGGAGATCTTCAAAATTGCCTTCCTCAGATTCACCACCGTCCTCCCTGAGGCAAGAGACAAAGACAGAAAGAAGGAAAGAAGGAAAGCAAGAAAAACACTGGGTATTTCTTGCGTGACGTCAAAGCGCTTTCGGGTAGGCTGCGCCGTTCCTCTGAAGAACTATGCGTCGATGCACGGCCAATTTGATGTTTTTCTCCCTGAACTGCCAAAATTGGGCTCTCAAGGACACTAGAGTTTGAGCAATTCAAGCTTCATCGTCTACCAAGGAGGCTCTTCCAGCTTGCCCTGCACCCTTGCTAGGACTTCCATCCCAAGTGTCTGAGCTCAACAGGTGTCATAGCCATCGAACACAACTGATATCGAATCAGAACGGCTCTTGAGCACGGTTGCTTCCTGTTGCGGGCAGATTTGAGATCAGAGTGGGGCTGAAGCGAAAGCATCTGTTCTTCTTCAAAGCACTCTCTGAGAAAAGAAACAGCAGCTTCTACATGGACAGATTGGTATATACTTATTACACTATTCTTTTCAAACAAATGTTGCACGGTCTCTTGGTGGAGGAAGCTATCGAGCAGCAGAACTCTTTTGTCTTCCTTCCACTTTTCTGGATGCTCACACAAGATTGACTGCACCATCCAGCTGTATTCGTCATATTTTCTTGATAGAACTATATATATATAATGCAGAAGAAGAAGAAGCAGAAGAAGAAGAAGAAGAAGAATAACAACACTGTTCTTTGTGGAGCATTATCCAGCACTGTTCGGCATACTTTGGACATTGCATGTAGTGACACGTTCGTTTGCGCCTGCTGTGTGACACCAAGGTCCAGACCACAGAGAGCTAGGGTAGCTGAGGCAGGCATTGGATTGGTTGTGGCTGCAACTGACAGAGTGCGGCGCACCTTTTACATTTCTCTTTGTGGCATTGTGAGCTTCCATTTTGGGTTGCTCTTTGGACAGCTCGCTTCTTCAATTGGCTCCACGCACAAAGCAATTAAGATGTAGACTGAAAATGACTCTCAGACGCAGTCTCTATCTCAGTCTCAGACAAGATTGGGCATGTATATTCCAACATAATGGACAGCCTGGAACAGGTTTCATCCAGTGCACAACGCAAGCTAGCACCAGCATACGGCAAAGGTTTGATGGTTGCGGTCCAGCTGGGCCGGCCGCACGGAGATATTTCAAAAGAGGTCACTACTAAGGTTAGTGACTACTTTCTTTTCTTTTAAAGTGTTTGATTTAACAAAGTTTGTACGGTTGTTTGCTTGTTCACTCTGCACGGTGCTTCACCATGTCGCACTCGCGTTCTCCAATGCCGCACCTGGCCATGCGGCAAACAACAGGAAGTTGGAAACCGGCACAAGGCTCAACTCGGGGAGAAAGATTATTCAAAGTCTTCAAAGGAAGACCGACCGACCGCTACAAAGTTGTTTGTCCCAGGCAACACACACTACAAAAAGAAGTTGATTTGGCAGTCCAAGACATGGCATGACCTTTACAAATCCCGGCCATCATCGGGAACAATGACCGCTTGTCAAGCTAATGAACCAATGCAGTGAATTTTGGGCAAGAAACGCACATAAGAGGTGTCACTGAATCACTTCCAGTTGCCCGATATTTGAGAGAATGGGGTCTAGCAGCCTAGCATGCAGTTTCGAATCCACGATATTGTATGAGCTTGCTATGAGGCAGAGAGAAATCTCGCTGGCAGCTACCCCAAGCCGTGCGTGGGGTGCACTCAGGACCCGAAGAATTTTTGGCATTCATTTCATGAGCCAGCAAAAGGTGCAAAAGCAAAGGTGGATTTGAGCATACCTTTGGATGAGCTAGTTGACTCTACAAATAGGACGTCTCAGTGGCCACTTCAGCACTTTAGAATTCAGTGGGTCATGGGATATGGGCATGTCACTCAGATCCTGACCAAGAAGGGAGAAGAAGCACAATTTCCTGTCAACATATATCAGTGTATTGTGGTTGCGATTCCCTTTTTGTGAGTTCCAAGCAGGAGCCGAGTTGTTCCCAGAGAAGAGCAGCCTCGTACAGAGGCGGCTTGGCAAAATTCGAAGCCTCATGCACAAGGATGTACGCAGTCTATTCTTGAGCTGCCCCTACGAAATCAGAGCAAACAATATTTGTCCCTACGAATCAAACAGTTCCTCTGTTCTTCGAGACTGTGGCGAGGTCAGGTTTCTTTCCGCTAAGGAGCATGTTAGGCACTTCCACGGGTGATTTCAAAAGGCGAAAGCCGCGGACGAAGGCTGCAGCGATCCACAATGTGCTAGCGCGCCCTGGTGTCCTTTTGAGAAGTCTTGTTTTCAGAATTTCCCTTGTGTTGTTAATATATTTTAATCAGTTCATGCCTTCCTTTCTTTTCCTTTCTGCTTTTGTCCTGAGGCAGGTAGCATCTTCCAAGACGAAATTGCCACACTGGCCACGGCCTGTTGAAAGTCGGAGCGCAGGCAAAGTAACAAGTGACAGATAGATAGAGCACGATTTTGTTTGAGGGCATGTTGAGAAAAGAACGACCTTGCTTACATAATTTTCAAGTGTGTGTGTGTCAAAGCCTGTTTCCAAGGCTGCGCACAATGTCTAGTATGTAAAACTAATTTTAACAGCGCGAGAAAAAGAGGCAGGGGGCTGGAGTGTGCTTCAGATGTCTCCAGCCAACGAAGACGCATCTGTCGCACAGTGATATAGTTCTGGGACGCCAGAACTACGTACCTGCCATTTTCAACTGTTATCAAGCTGTCCAGTGCGGTGTTGTGCAGTCAAGAGCTAAGGGAAAAAACTTGTTGAAACACCTGCAAATATGCCGACTTTCTCGCCTTGCGGCTCTGCATTTTTCTCCGTTCTACCAAGTCAAGTGGAGCTTCACTGCCGACTGAGCTCTTGCGAGCAACTCTCAAAGTGTGTGTCGCCACAGAGTCCCACTGAGGGCTGTGGTGTGATCCCCACCGAGGGGCGCAGCATGTGCATAGACCCAGATCCAGGGGGACCCACCCTGATTATTCCGTTCTTGCATTGGAGCTTCTTTGTGCAATCCCACTGATTGGCGGAACTTGACGAGACTGCCGATTGAACACCGCAGGGCTTGCTGAGATCAGATCCAGTTCGGAATGTCACACATGAGCATGTTCAGAGCAGTTTCACTTGGCTAAGTAAACAAGACGAGATACCTGCATAGGTCGACTGTGTCATTCGGACGACTTTGGGTTGCCCGAGGCTGTTAGGTTCAGGTAAGGAGTTGCTCGAAGTTTTTCAGGCTTCAGGTGAAACTGTAGCGCCTTTTACGGCCGAGCGGAGGGAGAGTTCGGAACGTGAACAACTAAGTAATCTCTTCTGGTTCTTTTGGCTTTTCTTTCCTGCTTTTGCTTTTTCGTTTTCTTGAGGCCTTTCTTTAGGTTTCTTTAGGTTCAGTCAAAGATGCGCCAAATGCGGCTTTACTTGAACGCCAGTGACGGCAATGCCTTCGGGCCATCCCCACCCCCCCCCCCCCCCCCCCCCCTTCCCCCCCGCCTTGGTTGCTACCCCACCCGCTATCTAGGGTAACAGGAGGAAATCGCACTCAACACACTTGTGTGTTGGTGCCTTTCCTTCTGTTTCTCCTGTCCTAGTCCTAGGTACCTGAGCGGTCTAAGACTAAAGTCCCGCTCGCTAACTATTGCGTTTAATTCATGTAACTAGAAGGCTTCGAAACTAGTGGGCCCAGCTCACAGCTTCACCATTACACTGCCTCGTAACTGCTCCTATCTTTCTCTCTTGCCCTCTTCGTTTGCTCTTTCTGTCTTTTCTCTCTCTCTTTCTTTCTAAGGCTTGTTAGGTGGCTAGTACTTTACTTGCGCGCCGCTATCGGCATGATGTGTGTGTCACAGCCTGTTTTTAAGGCTGCGCGCGTTATCAACTTTTAAAAACCCATTTTAATCGTAGGGGCGGTAACTAGAGAGCCCCGTAACTAGGGGGCCTCGTCACTACCCCTACCTTTCTCTCTTGCCCTCTTCGTTTGCTCTTTTTGTTTTTCCTTTTCTGTCTTTCTAAGGCTTGTTAGGTGGCTAGTAATTCGTTTGAGCGCCGATATCGGCGTGGTGTGTGTGTGTGTGTGTCAAAGCCTGTTTCCAAGGCTGCGCGCAATGTCTAGTATGTAAAACTAATTTTAACAGCGCGAGAAAAAAGAGGCAGGGGGCTGGAATGTGCTTCAGATGTCTCGAGCCAACGAAGACGCATCTGTCGCACAGTGATATAATTCTGGGACGCCAGAACTACGTACCTGCCATTTTCAACTGTTATCAAGCTGTCCAGTGCGGTGTTGCGCAGTCAAGAGCTAAGGGAAAAAACTTGTTGAAACACCTGCAAATATGCCGACTTTCTCGCCTTGCGGTTCTGCATCAAGTCAAGTGGAACTTCACTGCCGATTGAGCTCTTGCGAGCAACTCTCAAAGTGTGTGTGTGTGTGTGTGCGTGTAACCCTTGGAGTCACAGGGATCCTTCAGGATTGTATCGCACTAGCTTTTTCCCTCATCTAACAAAGACCGCGCCAAGTGGATGTGATATCAGTGCCCGGCCAGCACTGACGTACCTGCCTTTTGGCCCTGCTTCCTCTTGAAGACCTCCAGGCTCCGTAGTTTGTTTGACCTTTTCAGGAATTGGGTACCCAGGTTGGCGTGTGGCAGCCGCATTCACATCAGCGCAAGTGTGTCTCTCCTTAGTGAGAGCCCAGGATGACCCCGAAGAGTGGCCCCTGTGGAGCCGTTGAACGGGGGTTTGTCGAACGTATCCCTTGCCCATATACAGAGCAGCTCGCAGCGAGCGTAGGTGGCTTGAGCTAAAATTACTTGCCAAGATTTGATGGATTATTGAATTCCGCCGGCCGCCTTCGGGCATGCCGTTAGGTGACCAGAGCGGTCTCAAGTCGCCCGCCATTTTGGCATAGCGCAAGGTGACCGCAGCGGTCAGCATTTTGAGGTTCGTTGGACCCTGTCAGGGACCTTAGAGGGATGCCGCCTACACCAAGCCGCACACTGCAAACATGCCTACAGCCTTTTCCTTTCCCTTCCATACGCGGGTCTACACCCTACCGGATTCACTGCGCAGCTGGCAAACTTCATTCCTTTTCTTGTTCTTTCCTCTCCCTGCGCCTCCCGCCGCTTTGCAGCTCTCTCCTACCGGCCTCGCCGCCTACACTGCAAACATGCCTACGGCCTTCCTGGCAACCGCGCCAACCATTCTCACCCCGGATAACGGCTGGGCCAGGGGAAATTCTTACCTTTTCTTGATCTCGCCTTTCTCACCCATCGTTTGGACCTCAGCTGAAAAGTGCCCCCCATTGCGGGGGACGTGTGTGTGTGTGTAACGCTGGGAGTCACAGGGATCCTTCAGGATTGTACCGCATTAGCTTTTTCCTGCGCAATGCTGAGACACCACCTTTTTTCTTTTCAATGTAGAGCAGGGGGATGAGGATCCCTTGGTGTGCCCCATCTAAGACCGCGCCAAGTGGATGTGGTGGTATCAGTGCCCGGCCAGCACTGACGTACTTGCCTTTCAATTTTTAAGCCATTGAGCTTTTGGCCCTGCTTCCTCTTGAAGACCTCCAGGCTCCGTAGGTTTACTTGACCTTTTCAGGAATTGGGTACCCAGGTTGGCGTGTGGCAACCGCTTTCACATCAGCACGCATTTCTATAAGTGTGTGAGACCCTTGAAATCACAGGGAATGCGTTGATTTTTAGCCGGGGGACTGCCTGACTTGTAACAGTGGCAGTCCAACGAAGAGGCTGTTACGAGTCACTGATAAGGATTCTGGACACAGAATCCACGTGCCTGCTTCGTGATGACATCTCATTTCCCACTGGGCCCCGTTTTAACTACAACAAGATTGCCAGCCTTCGCGCCTGTTTTTTTCTGCAGTCAAGTGCTCGTCGCTCGATCTTTCGTCGACTTCCTCGAGTTCGTGAACTTGGCCTTATGAAGACTTTCAGGTTCATGGACAAACCGTCGTACTTACCTCAAACCTGACCTCATAGGCGTTCATACTTAGGTGGCGTGTGGCATGTGGCATTCAGTTCCGTCTCGTGTGTGTGTGTGTGTGTCAACACCTGTTTCCAAGGTTCTCATAACTAATTGTTGACAAGGATCGCTGGACTACTTTATGCCACTGTTCCACTCAGTTCCAGTTTCACGCAGCAGGGGGTGGCAGCAGGAACGAGAGTCTGCCGCCAACGAAGACACTCTCGATTTCCTGGTGATACTGGGACTGATCATCCCAGCGTACCTGCTAATTTTAATTGCCTCGTCAAGTTTCACCCATGTTCAAACATTCAATTATTCGGACCCAGCACTTCTTACAGTTCAATCAAGTCAAGGTCTACAATGCAACGGGTAATGTAATCAGTCATCTAGAGTGGGACTTCGTACTGATACTAGCTCTTGCGAGCAACCATCTAAGTGTGTGTGTGTGTGTTTGTTGACTTCCTTCGAGAACGTGCGCAAGCTGCAAAGTAGATATGCATATATACATGTGCAGTAGATGTGCGTGGGACCTCACATGGCTTCACAAAAAAACACTTGACCCAAGCAGACACCAGCACGGCTTTGATGGCAATCCACTGTGCCCATGACACTCCATTAGTCTCCTATGCATACCCATCGTGTTCTTAGCGTTCGAAGGAACCGTAGCCGTACTAGTCTCTACTGGCTCTACCGATCTACCACTATGTTATCATTGTGTCACCGATGTTTTTCTGGTCCTACCATTTTGGCATCGAACGAAGACGTGCTGGGGTGATGCAAAGTGCACCCACATCAGCCTTCAAACAGTCATGTTTACTATCTACCGAAAATAAAAGCTGGTCTTGGGGAGCTCTGGCACAGAGGGCCAACACTTGTGGTGGGCGGAAGCCGCAGGAACCTTGCCTCGGGCTGTCAAGGAAGAGGACATGAGAAGGCGAGGCTTTGCGAAGGTTCTACAAAGATCTTTGCAATTGAATTCTCTTGAGAATGAGCATGTGTGAGAAACAGAACTCTGCATAGGACACCCTCTCACCCAGTGAAGCTCCCTTCTACTTCGATGCCTTCACCGATGGCATCGATGGCACCTTCTCAGCCCTGGCAGCCCTCGCAGCCTCCGCCGCAACCCGCAGCACAGCAGGAACTGACGGAGCCTGTGAAGGAGTCTGCGGAGCCTGTTCCGGGTGCGAATGGCCGGCAAGGTGGCAAACCGGAGATGCTTGGTCAAACACGAAAGGAATTTGTGCAGAGAAGGATGAACGCTTGTGATTTTTGAGTTGGATCACAACTGTCCAAAGAAAACCATGTTCGTTTCAGGAACACGGAGACTCCTCAGGCTTCATTGGCCCAGACTACGCCAGTCGGCAAGGACGCGACTTACCGCTTTGCATCAAGAGAGGCAAAGGGGACTTGTTTGGCCTTTTGCCTGTCTAGGAGGGATCAAACTGTGACCTGCCAGAGCCCATCAAGTGGCGAGCAGGCTGGAAACAGTTGCACCCATTTGGAACCTGCCATATGCTTTTACAAGGATTCACTGCAAGTCACACCTAAAGGTATGTGGAAAGCAGTCACGCGGAAAGGAAATGAACGCCGTGTGAAAACCCTATGGCTTGCTAGGTTCGCTAGTACCCAGTGTGGCCGATTGCCTTGATCGCTACTACGCTGACTTGGTTCCTGCTGAAGATGTGCAGCGAATGCGGGTGAAGCACAGTGGCAGAGTGTGTGTGTGTGTGCGTGCCACCGTGAGGCATTTTTTGACTGGGTTTCACCTGCGCACAACATGCCAGTGAGCAACTGCTTTGATGCTGCACGCGAGCCCATGTTTTTTCTTCATATATTCTTCTTTAAGTAATATTTCACATTGTGCTTTTTGGTGTAGCTGCTTGGATTTGCTAAGGATATTCTCGCGCTTTGCAAATTCCAACTTCGAAGTGGCCAAGGAGGACCTCCCCGAAATGTTGCGTGTGGAGCTCAAGCAATCGAAGCACTTTTTCCTCGAAGCGGTCAAATCTTCCAGTGTGCCACAGAGAGCGAAGCTGCCGAAGAGAAGGTGCTAGCGAATTAAACCTAAAACCACCAATGAGTCATTTGTGGGATCAAAATGATCAAATCCTACTTTAGTCACTCAAACATGAAAAGCAATACTATAATACCCTTTGTGTTTCCAGCTTTGAACGTGCCCACGAGCAAAGCTGAGTTTCTCTCGTCCGTTTAGCTCGGAATTCTCCGGCTCAGGTCTACAGCGTAACCAGCGTAAACAGCGTAAACAGCGTAGTCGGCGTAGCCAGCCTAACCAGCGTAATCAGCGTAGCCAGAGTAACCAGCGTAACCAGCATAACCGGCGTAATCGGCGTAACCGGCCTAATCGGCGTAATTAGCGCAACCAGCGTAACCAGCGCGATCAGCGCAGCCAGCCACCGCCAGCGTACCAGCGTACAATCACTCGCGGACACGCTTTGCCACGGCCAAAAACCCAAAATCTTTTGTATAATTCGGTTGAAATACATTTTGGGGTCTAAATCTGCTATCCGCGTTACTCCCCTTTCTCTGCAAGGTCGCCTTTGCTTTTTCCTGGTGTCTGGAGAAGCTTGGCAATAGACCAAGGGTTCTGGATAGTTGGCTGAAGCCGCAGCCCTATTGTGACCAGTAAGGGCCTGGTTCAGAAGATGCAAAGTTGGAGATCCCGACGGATACAATGTGATCTTGCACAGAAAAAGAACGCAATTGTTTGTTGCATTTTGTTGCATATGCTCATATGCTATTCATACGCTATTCATAAATGTTCTTGCGTTATTGATATGTAGATGTCCGATTTGGATTTGAGGACCAGTGCAATCAGATTGCCAAAGAGGCTACGAACTTCGAGGCCTTGGACTTCAATGACTTCCAGGTGGAACTGGGAGCTCTGAGGATCTTCATTGACGAAGTCTTTAGCGACGAAATGTACAGAACTGTCTTTTGTCTTTGTCATGTTAGGGTTTGAGCATATGTAACAGAACTGCCGGCGACTGCAGCGCTCTGATGGGTTCATGCCACCATGGGCTGCCACTGTCCACAATACAATTGCAGCGCAGGATTTTTATGAACGCTACGCCCAGTACGAGCGGAGAATGATGCACGTGAGGCTGAAAAGGCAGGTAATGGAAGTGGTACACCGTGCTATGCAGGGACTTGACCCCCTACTTCTCTTCAATTCATTCATCCACCCACGCCCCCTGAGGGATATCGTTGGCATGGAATGAATTCATTCATGTCGTGAGAACTTCTGGGCCAGAAGAACATGATGCATGATGACATGCACATTGTGTCGTTTTTCCAGTGTGGTTGCAATGCATGTCATGCTCATTCTTTGTCTGTCTTTTTTGGAAGCGACTGAAGTCGCTCATCAGGTGGCGTCCAAACCCTTCGGCCCGTGAAGATGCAGACTTTCCTTTGCAGAACATCCGCACGTTATTACGATCTTTCAGCCACTTGGATCCATTTGGCACGGCGATCCGACCACTTACTAAGTTTCTAAGAGCTTGTGTGGTGTCAAGATCAAGCAAAATCAAGGGTCAAGCGGATAGACGGGGAATGAGAAGATCAACAGTTGCAAAACTGTTCAGTGGCACGTGCACAAACTATCTCCTTCAATGGAAAACAGTGTTGAAGCTGCCTCTTGCACCATCCCTTTGAACAACCACATGTTGATCTCAACGTCCAACTGGCGTCGTGATATAATCCATAGATTGCTGCGTCGTTGAAGCTTTGATTTGGACGCCTTGTGCACATTGGTTGTCATCCGCCGATCTCCGTTGCCTCCTTCACCTCTTGTGTTGCTCACAACAAGACACCAGATCAGGCCTCTTTGCCAATGGCAGTTACCAGAGCTTGTGTCCCTCTATTGTTGATGCTTGTTGCATGGAGCTCACCTGGACCGGTATGTTGGGATCATTGCTCCACTACCATGTAACAAACTTGCACAACTGCTACTGTTGACTGCTGCACACACCTTTGCTGTTCATTGGGGGCTAGCTCAAGGGCCCTGCGTTGGAGCCAAAGCGTCGAGGTACCTCCCTCATGTAGAAGACAGGGTTGAAGCTGCATCTGAAAAGAAAAGGGGTGCGAGAGTAGAGAGAGAGAGAGAGAGGAGAGACCGGCTGTAATTTCTATTTATATATATATATATACAGTAGGCATGCATACAGACTGTCCAAGCAGCGCTAGCAGTCAACTCTTGTTGAGTTGCCAGAATGTCAAGGTGTCGTGTGCACTGCTGATGCATTTAACAGTATCCGAGAAGCTTGGCACTCGAATTGTTACAACTCTCGCTATGAACTCTTCAGAGATTTTGCAAAGCTTGGCAAGTCTTGAAATGTTGGCCTTTATTTATCTCATTTGTCTCAGGAAGTGGCGGGGTTGAAGCGGCATGACTGTGACCACTCCATCGCCCTGATTCGTTTTCTTGCAGGCTATCGCTCCTGCGAAGGCAGACAACAAAGATGGGACAAATTGAGAAGAACTTCAACGCTTTGCCAATCAAAAAAAAATTACTCCAACTTTGGGCAAAGCATTTGCCAGGCTTCACAGTAACAGAGCTGCAAAGGCTGACTCAAGCCTTTCATCACTGTGAAAGTGAGCCACGGCTGAAGCAAGATTCGGAACATGCCCCGTCAACTTTGCTTGCTGCGTTGGTTTTCGTTCACAGGCATTGAATACGAAGATTCATTAACTCAACTTTGTTCCTTCCAATCTCTTTCAATTTGTGGATGTTTCACGATTCTTCCAGGGTTTAGCAGGGATTGCTTTAGAGATTTCTGCTTTGAGGATGTTGTGAATCTGGGCCCAGAGGGCCGACTGATTCGTCCAAGCGAGCTTGCACGGGGATTGTTGCACTTTGGAGGACTCTACTGCAACTCTAAGTTGAAATCTGTGGAGGATCATTTCTGTCCTTGGTTTGTTCTTGGAACTGCAAATTTTTTGTACTGGTGAACGCTTGCTGAGGTATAGATCACTTGCAAGCACTGATCGACAGTCAGTCACACCATTTCCAAGAGAAGACGTGGCTTGACCAACAAAAACGTTAAACTCGCTTCTGTTTTGTCTCACTGACTTGGCAACCGCGACAGCTTCACAGCGTATCGTTCAAGGCATGGGATCTGCTTCTTTGAGTTCCTGGTAAATGCGCGGTTGCTGCGTCAGATGGAGCTTTCTGAAGTTGCCGGCTACTTCCAGAATTTAGACACAGACAAGGCAAGTGAAAGAGTGCAGCTTTCAGCATCCATTTTTGCAAGTGAGAGTTTCTGACAGTCACGAGTCAATATTCAAGCGCATCACTGAATAATCCTTCAGATTCCACTGCAGCAGTTGTTTGCTATTGCACGCAGGATGGATACATTTGGGGCCAGGAGCCCGACAAGTCAAAGTGCTGCGAGCAACGCAATCATCGAACATGTTCAATCAAACATCAACGGCACAAGAGAGTTGAGCAGTTTGACATGGGCTTCTAATATGTTCGTGAAATGCTGCACACTGTTGTTTTTTTGCAACCTGGCAGGACTTGCAAGACCTCTGCAAACCATTGGGGTTCAGTCTACTGACAGCTGAGCTTAATGAGCTGCAGGAGCCGGGGAGAGAGAGAGAGACAGACAGACAGACAGACTCCGAGACAGAGAGCAGAATCTGAAAAGGAGAGAATGTTGAGATAAACTCACAAAAGGAAGAATCAATTGAGACATATACAGTAAGCTCTTTGGTAAGAATCAGTGCTTGAAGATTTTGGATTTGACCATGGGTTCCTTGACTTTTCGCAGCTCAGACTAAACCATTCTACAAAGTCACTATATGAGCGTGAAATGTGGCACTTCTTCACTTGTATTTCCGAGGGCGACCAGGGCATCAGTGCAGACTCGCAGCTGTCCCTGGACGATGCCTTCAACTTTATCATGCATGTTCGAGAAAAGTGCCTATTCTCAATGATTTATGCTCATTTTTATGCTCATGAAGAAGTTTGTGTCGGGGCAAGCGAGCATGTGAGTCTTGCAATTGAATCGTGTATTTTTGATAGTTTGAGTATGAAGTGTTTTGTTTTTTTAACTTTTGTTACTCTTAAGAATCTTGACTTTTTGATTTCTTGCTGAGCCCAAGAGTGCTACAATGAGTGAACAATTGTAGGGACTTCGGACAGTTTGGATGTCTTCGACTTTGGCTTTCCAAGGAATGGATTCACGGCAGGAGAACGCCAAGAATTCTTGAAGACCTTTGACCACTTTTGCATCTGGGGTTGGATGTTTTCCCAAAGGCGGCATGTCATATATGAATGATAAGAAAGGCCGCTGAACAGTGAAGCAGCCTAGGTAAAGCCAACCGTGAAATGCCCACGCTTCAGGCTGGACGAACAATGTGATGCTTTTGTTCGGGGAAAACAGTGTGGTCACACTAGGGTTCTTACGATTGCAATATATACGGTAGTGTTGAGGCTGGGTTTTGACCAAGGTGCTCGCATTTCTCAATTCGCTGCTATTAACGCTACTTTACATTCACCTCGAGATCTTCTAAATGCCTTTCGCAGGATCGCGCAAACTCTGCCCCAAGAGGGTGCTCTTCTTGACTCCGCTTTCGTTGTGGTGCCGTGCGGATTTTCGGACGCGGTGGGCACTTTTCGTGGCAAGAGAAACCTCGTGTTTTGGTGGTCCAAAGTCGAAATTTTTGGAGCAGTTTTACGTAGATGTGCAGATTTTGGTGGCGCTCACCGTGCTTTGGACACGGTGGTAGTCTCCAGGGCGGTCTGATTTCCTAGCAGGTGCAGTGAGTTGTGAACTGTGGACATGTGGCTTGCTTTCAGAATCCGGACTCGTTTTCCGAACTTGGAGGAAGTCTTAAGCAAAGCTTGGCTGCGACGCGCATTGGCAGGGCTGCCCGATGTGAATCTTTGTGTGGTAGTGGTAGTATTAGTAGTAGTAGTTGTAGTAGTAGTGTAGTAGTAGAAGAAGTAGAAGTAGAAGTAGAAGTAGTAGTAGTAGTAGTAGTGGTAGTAGTAGTAGTAACAGGAGTAGTAGTGGTAGTAGTGGTAGTAATAATAGTAGTAGTAGTCGTAGTAGTCGTAGTGATAGTAGTAGTAGTAGTAGTAGTAGTGGTAAAAGTACTAGTAGTAGTAGTAGTACTACTACTACTACTAGTACTACTACTACTAGTACCCCACTACCACTGCTGCGACCACTACGACTACCACTGCTGCGACTACTGCCACTACGGCTACCACTACACAACGACTAGGACCACAAAGTCATTTTCTCACTCATCATCATGGTCTTCGGAACACTGTTCAAGGATGGTTGGGGTCCCTCTGGTTTTGAACGCTTTGATGTTGCTCGCAGGTGATGGAGCTCTTGGACTGGCAAGGTTTCAAAAATCGTGTGGAGGATGTGCGAAAGATGGTGCAACAAGTCGACTTCAATGAAAATGGCACCATGGAGTCTCAGATGATAACATTGTTCTACAAAAGTTGGTAAACATAAAAACTGTACGTGGAGATAACGATTTAAGCTCAGAGCCCAGGACGAAACCGAGTATTTACGTTTGATGCGCTTGCAGAAGGAGATCAAACTGTCAGTTTATAGAAAGGTTTACGAGAGACTTGGCAGCAAGGTATCAATCAGGTATGAAAAATGTTTCATTGAGAATTCGCAACTCTCCAGACGCATCGACCGTCACTGTCTGAACGTGAGGCAGCAAGAGCTGGCCAGCAAAGCTCTCACCAAAGAAGCACTGCACCCTTGGCTGAACGCACTCGAAACTCCTGAGGGTCAGTTTGATCGAAGAACTCCCCAGTTCCCTGAAAAGACGACGTTACATAGAACCTTTTTTGTAGCATATATAAGCAAAGGGTGCAAAGTTTCTGAATCTCCTTTGTTTGATTGAGACAAACACACACACACACATGTTTGACTCATCAAAGTAAGAACGTCTAGATAGGTTTGTTTCATCACACCATCTCTAAGTTGTCTATCAGAGTGGGTTTGCATCTGTGAAACAATGGTGACACCATGTTGCGACTGCATTCTCCGTGACTTTCATCGGTGTTCACCTTTGTTCCCTGTGCCTCGGATGCGTTCGATGCCTTGTTAAGACTGCACCCACACATATGGCAGAACCAAACAGGTCAGAAGCCTTGGATGAGGCTGACCTCCATGTGCCGCCTCGCTGCCTGTAGAGAATTTGAGAAGGACTTTCTTTTCCGAAAAGTTGTTTGATATAATATATATATATATATTCATAAACATGTATATATATATATATGTGTGTATATATATAGTTTGCAATTCTCTTTTAGACCTTTATATATTTATTCTTTTTCTACCTTTCTGTCTTTCTATCTTTCTATCTTCCTATCCCTCCTTCCTTCCTTCCTTCCTTCCTTCCTTGCTTGCTTGCTTGCTTGCTTGCTTCTATCGAAGATAATGTATTGCGCATTCAGGCAAGCATCTTGCTTTGATACCTTTCATAGTTCTTCTTCAGGTTCTCTTCCCGAGGTCTGGTGGAAGACACATTTCTCAAGTGTGTAGCTGAGCAGGGGCAAGTATCTGCAGGCCAAGGGTAAGATGGCTGTCGTAGCTGTTCAATGCAATTATAGGTCCTGAATCTGGTGTCCTATCTAAAGCACAACACGATTCGGTTGACACTTTTGGGCTTTCATTTTGAGAGACTTGAATCAGTTGACAACAATGGTGCTATCAAGATAATGCTTGCAGTGTGCTTCACATGGTCAAGCTCATGTCACCATGTTAACACATGTCAGCATTAAATGGCAGCTATTGTCAGGCATCACCTGGGACACTTGGGTGAAAGCGGCTGAGCAGAGCAGGAAGCTAATTCCAGTGGAGAACCGAAAGCAGGCGGGAAGACCCTGAAGCACTGCGGACAAATCCTCCTACTTCTACGTTGTGCTTTTCCTTTCTGAAGAAGAGTGCGCCTTTTGTCCTGCCATGATGTGTAGTCTTTGGGAGTATTTTCACATCACTTTCAGGCGCTTGCTTTGACGTGAAAACTGATGCGTGCATGCCTTGCACTTCATTTCATATTAGGCTTCCTTCACAGATGCAGAGCTGCAACAGCTCAGGACCACTTCTCTGGAAGCTCTCTCACAGAAAATTCAAAATCATTTGTTCTAAGAAGCTACTAGGGGCTCCTGGCCGTACTACTAGGAGCAAGTAGCTACTAGTAACAAGAAGCTACTATTTTTGTGTTTTCTACAGTCGTCCTTTCCGTTTTGTCTGCAGGACAGCGTTTGATCTTCAAAGCTCCGACGGCTGTGTTTCAAAGGGCCAACTTTTGTGGATGCTGGCTGACTCCGGTATGCCCGTCAACAAGGTGGGAGAAAGTTGTGTCCCACCTAGACCTAGTAGCAGTCTATAGCCTATAGCTAAAATAACTAGTTTTATCCCTCTTACTTAGCTTTCTTCTAGGCTAACTACTCTTTTCCCTTCTCCCCCTAAAAATCAATTGTACCAGGAATGCTAGGAACCATCGGGAACCTGGTAGAAGTTGAATCCGTTCTTCCTTCCTCTAGGCGAGCGGCCGCCGTGATCTGTATCTTAGTCTGGATCGGGCAAGGCCAGGGCCAGGTTTTTGAAGACCGATGGAGGCCATCGCTTCTAGGTTCGACTTCAAGACTATCAAGAGCATGCTCAGATTTGCTTCCGCCCGACAGGAGAAAGGCCCTTGAGGCCGGTGTGGCAGAAGAGGAGCACCAACTCAAGCGCCTGCAACAGAAAACGAACAGAGGCCATTGAGGTGCAAAGGAGACACTAATACAATCTGGAAAAAGGAATGGTAGCCTGTCTGTGTGACAACGTGACAGCCAACACATCTTTGGGATTAATACATTGATCGAGCATACTCCACGGCAGGAAGTGGGGCGACCACGAAGCCCCAACATCCGTTTTTTCCCAGTGGTGCATTTGGCACGGGCATTTCTCAAGAATACACAGCAGAAGGTTTTGGAATCTTGGCATAGTTTAGCAGCTTGGCAGTGGGGTTCTGCTGTGCTTTCAAACAGCTTTAAGAGTTCCAGTTGGTACAGTGCATGCTTCATCAGGGTGTCCTGAAGATTACAAAACTGGTTTGGGTCGAGCTCGTTTGTGCAGACCTGAGTAGAATCCAAAACAGCAAGGCGGTGACAAAAGCTGTTCTATAGTCCTTGCAGAACTGCATCAAAGCTTAGCAAAGTCCGAGTGTCCTTTGCACGAGTGTCCTTTGCAACCCTGTTTGGATCGTTTCGTGTCCCTTGTGAAGAGGTTTCACAACAAAATTGTTTTGTGTTTGCAGTACAGTCGGGTCAGGAACGAGAAGAGGCAGCTATGAGGCCTGATAGAAGTAATTTCAGTCCCTGACTATGTGGTTGCAGAAGTTTGCGAATGGGGTGAATTCTTGTTTGATTGATTTGCACAATGGACTTTCAGTCGAACCTCAGCACTCAATTCTTTCCATGTTCGTTTGTGCAGGGCAGTGCGCTTCTCTTCAGCGGAGGTCATTGAGCTTCGCTCACTTTTCGAGAGTGAGGTGTCTCAAAGCACTGTTTCGTCGAAGTGGTGACACGGGATCCAATGAGATTAGAGGTGTCACTTCTCACATTCACTCTTTTGGCAAGCTTTCACCAAAACAGTCTAGCTCGATCAAGGACAGTTGCTTCGACAATCCTGTACACTTTCGTGCCACCCGGCGCAGGCTCAGGAGTGCGTCAAGGAGGATTTACAAGAAAGACTTGAGGCAACAGAAAGAAGACAAGCTAAGTTCTGAAATGACGCTGCACACGACTAAAGAACTAGTCCTAGAAGTTTCAGAGAAAGTTATATAAAGATGTTGAAAGTTAAGTTTCAGAGATCTACTGTAGCTTTCAGGCCATTTTTCTAATTCGTAGCTGCAGCTCTTTTGGGAGGGCCATCGTTGTTGTGATTGTTGTTGTAAGATGTTGTAAGTGTTATTGCTATTTATGCTATGGATGGTGCTCTAACTTCAATCAACAGAAGACGATTCAGAAACAAAAAGTAGCCGATTCAGAAGCTGACCGATTCAGAAGCTAGCCGATTCAGAAACTGCATGGTGGGGGTGGGGTTTGGGTAGGGTGACGTTGACGTTCCTGTGAAGTTGCAAACAGTGGGCACGGGTGGGATGGTGACGCTCCTTTGATTTTGCGCACACTGGGCACGGGTGGTGGGGTTGGGGTGAGGTGGGACGTTCCCGTTCTAGTTTCCGAATCCTAGTTTCCGAATCCGTGCCGTCCCTAGTTTCCGAATCCTGGGCCACCCTAGTTTCCGAATCCGCGGTTCTAGTTTTAGTATCTGCTGTTGACCTAACTTCAACATAGGGCTAGGTAAATGGCGCTGGTTCTTGTTCGGAGTCACGCGTACATTGTATTGGAATATGTTGTCAAAGCATCCCAAAGCCAGTGCACCTGTACTCAGGGAGATGAAACGCGCAAACGCAGCTTGGGGACTGTAATTAGACTTCTTGGCTGCTTAGTGCAAAATTCAGTGCCCTTGCCAGTGACAGATACTTCATTCCTTTGAGGTTTTTGCAACACTTGCTCTTGAAGTTTTGCACAAATTCACATGCAAAAGCTGAGGTCAAGAGGCCAGAGTGCCCACCAGCAAGGTTATATTGATGACGGCGCGGATAGGGGCTCGGATAAAGATCTCTCAGAAAGAGGCCTGGGGAATGTGAAAAGGTCAGTCACTGTGAGATCACACCATCGATAGGAAAACACAGATGTTGGATAGGTTTCAGGGCCTTGCAGAGGTTTACAGTGTGAATGTATTCGCTGGCCGTACATGTGCGGATTGTCAGGAGCTTTACTCCAAGATCCGCGAGCTTTGCGTCCAAGACCCTGGAGAGACTCATCGGGGCATCGACTTCCCCTGCTTCTTGCAGCTCATGTCTCTTAGCTTGCACCTCAACCCATGGGGTACATGTTGAATTTCGATTACGGCATCCTTTGCAAAGATCTTCGACAATTGAACTTGACTCGGAGGCAGTGGATGTTGGATTGCAACTTTGGAGAAATCAATGAAGCAGCGGAGCGATCAATCAAGAACTGACACAAAAAAAACAGTGGGTCAAGCTGTACACGATTATTCAATTGCTTGTAAGAAATCACTATATATAGTAACTTCTATGTGTATAACACCACCATGTAGATACGATATGGGAGAATCCCCAAAAGGGCTGTGTTTGGACACTTCTGCCCACTTGAGTGTGGCTATAGAGTGTCGTGCCCATACTTCAATCGAAACCCAATCAGCGCTACAGTCGCTCGACTATGCTGATTGAGCAACTCAAGGTGCTTTTTGAGCGCTTTTTGAAAGCTATAGAGGTGGTTGCTCACGTCCAAGATGTTGCTCTTCCACCTGTGTGCACCTGTGGTGCACCGTGCACCTGTGCATCACTGGGGTCAACATCAGCGGAAGAACGGACAGAATTTCTTCATCTCATTTGACAGAATTGGAAGCGAGCTCAGCTGCAAGAACAGTGATTTTTGATGATTTCTTTCGTGAGATGTCGCAAGACGAGCGCAGGAACCCCGTGTGTGTTCCGAAATGTTCGAGTCCATTTTAGTGCCTTCCTTTGTGCGGAGTCGAGATTGGCGTAGCCTTGCATGCAGCGAAGGTTGCATGCAGCAAAGTGAGGCGCAGGAAGCGAGAAATAGTGAGCTTACTTAGTGTGCATGTTGCTTTTGTATGGTCGACACCCTTTGAGAAGCAACTCTGACCAATCCTGAGACTTACTTGGGTCCAAGGGTGTTGGACAGATTTATCTCTTTAACTTAAAAGACAGACAGATCTGCTGACTCACTGTTCTGGATGTTTTGGGGCTGGTTCATATGGAGCCTGTGCGAAAAACTTGGCAAGAAAAGCTTCAAGGAAACAACTCTTGCCCAAACGCTGAGCGTTTCAGCTCAATGATCACGAGATGTCACCAGACGAGATCCTTACCTAGATATGGATCCCCACCAGATGTGAAGGAGTCGCTCATTGACTGGCGAACGTGCGAATGCATGCTCAAGAAACACATTTAAGTATCAGGTTCTGTACTTCCCGAAACCTAAAGGCGCATCGTTGGCGAATTCAGACACCCCTAGGAGCAGCAGCTGCGGGCGGTCGCAACTGTGGCAGACTTGCGGCGTGCACTGAAGCTTTCCAATGAGCGCCGCAGCCAAGGAACATGTCCAGCATTCTGGTTGTATGTTGCACTGGAGGACTTAGAATCTAGAACATTCTTTCAAGCATTCAGTTGGGTTCTGGCACATTCTATGGCAACCGTCCAGTCTCAAAGACATATTCGCGTGGTGACAAGGCAGTTTGCGTGTTTTGTCATGTGTTGTTGAATTGCCATTGATTTTCCAGACTGCAAGAACTATGCTCCTGAGCGTTTTTTCAGCGCCAAGGACTGAGGGTCCCTGAGGGTTAGTGCCTCTGCATGTCTGTGTCATTCATGCCCTGAAGGCTAGTTTCTGTTCAGCTCAATGAATTTGGAGGGTACTTCTTTTCGTCTTAGTCTTGGTCGTCATGGCTCTGGCTTGTCTTCCTTTGTTCATGATGTTTGCAAGATGCAATGTCAAACTTTGCAGGATACAGGGCGAGCTCACGTTTGCGAATCAGAAGTGAGTCTGACGCAGGCGCACTGGTCTAACAAGTTGCTCCTGATATAGACCTGGATCATTCTCTGTTTTGGCTTATTCCATTGATATTATTCAATTTATCGTTAAGAAATGGATTTCAGCTACAAGTATTGATTGTCCAAAGGATGTCTCGTCAAGGTTCCGTCAGGCTGAATAGAGTTGGGCCTTGTCGCTCGTCAGGCTGCAAATGGGAGACCCAAGCCCTTTTGACCCTTTTTCTTTGCCATTGTGCGTGGCCTTGTTCACAAACTCATCGCACATTTGGAATATTGCGCTTCGCGTAAAGAGATAAAATCACCTGGTGTGCAGGCTGTGGTTGTCCCGGCCAAGATGCAAATTGCTGTCCAGCGCATTCGTCGTCGCCACAAACCGAAGAAGAAGATTGCTTGTCCAACTACAATTCGCGTGGGAAGGCAGACTTTTTTGATGCGCGGATTGCTGACATGTCTTTGCGTGCGAAGAGACCCTGGCAAGATGTGCCACCAAGCAACACTCAGCACGACTGTTGAGTTTGTTGTGTACTGGAGTGGGGCTTTTCTCATCAGCTTGAGAAATTGTGTCTTTTCTTTGCCTTGTTGTCCTTGAAGGCTACTGCCCAGCGTCCAGGAATGTTTGAACAAGTTCTGGAGCGATGAGGCGACACTCTTCGTTTTGAAGTCTTTCATCAACATGGTGTGTTGCGATTCGCAATCCAATGCAACAAGGAAGTTCGTTATGCAAACCAAAGCGCTTCTTAAGATCAGCAGTCAGTAACACACAACGTGCTCAGAGCTGGGTTGCTGCATTTTTTGCGTATGTTTTGGTTGTTTTTCAAAAGTGCTTTGGAACTAAGCCGACTTTGCTTCTCTGAGGTGAACTCGGACGACTTGTTGAGGATGCGGGTGGTCTTCCGCTCTATGTCAGAGGAAACAATGACTTTGGAATGCGCATTTGTCTTTTGCACAAACACAAACATAAAGCCCCTACGAATATTATATATATACACACATACATACACATACCAAAAGCTAACTAAACTTGAGTCACAAGATGGACATGTTTATAGTGAATTCGACGTTCAAAAAATACTCCCACAATTTTCAATGACCCCAAACTTGATTCCCAAAGTCAGTTGAATACACTTCAAATAACACTATACTATTTGTGAACCATTTTCCATGTAGACCATAACCTAGATGCATAGTTTTACTGACACCACAACATGTACAGCTGACCTCACTGCAGCTCCTTTTGAGCTCCAGAGAAAAGCCCCTAGGTCACTGTGATTTCAAGCCATAGATTTGGTGCTTTTGATAGATTTGGGGTCTTTGGAACCCAAACAGCTGGACTGGCGAAGAATTGTTGTGAGCAACACTCTGTACCCAGTACATAGTGTCAAAGAGACATTAGTACATAGAAGAGATGGATGAGATGAAGAAAATCTTTCATACAATAGCACAGAGTACGCTGGAAACAACATCAGCAGCTGAGGCGAAGAAAGCAGTTGAGGACAAGAAGTCATCAAGAACAGGTTGGTCAAAACTCATAGCAAAGCCCAATATCTTTGACTATAAGTCACAAGAGGAAGAGGTTAAGGCATTCAGAGAGTGGTCATGGGTCATTGGGAAGGACTTGAGAAGTTTGACGTGGGCTTGGCAACTGATGCAGAGAAGACCAGGCGCATCAAGCTATGGATTGTTAGCTTCATGATAAAAGGAAGGGCACTGCAATTAGTGAAAGCTGTGGAACACTCCAATGGATTTGATGCCTGGAGGAGGCTGAATAAAGCTTTGAAACCAACTTGAAAGGGAAGAGGCTTAGCACTCTTGGGAGCAGCCACTACATGGCCAGCATTTTTAATGAACAGTGCACTAGAACCTCAACTTTTGAAGCTGGAGGAAGTATTTTGATGAGACAGTCGGGTCAGGGACTACAATTCAAAAAGAGTTGAAATCTGCTATTCTTTTGAGATGTGTAGGTGGACAACTCAAACCATACTTGAACTTGACAATTGGCGACAATGTTCAATACAACTTTGAGGGAACACGTGTTGCAAGACCGCTCTCAGCAGAAGCGGCTACTTGCACGGTGGCCTGCAGCAGTACAGACTATCAAGGGCCTATGCCAATGGACATTGATCGAGTCCAAGATGCCAAAGCAAAAGGTAAGAAGGGCAAGAAAGACCATCAGAAAGGCAAAGGTAAAGATGCTAAGGGTGAAGGAAAGAAAGGAAAAGGAGACCAGAAAGGAAAGGAAGGTGGTCACAAGGGCAAAGGTAAAGGCGAAGACAAAAAAGGCAACGGTGTGGCAACATGGGCAACATGTTACACTTGTGGAAAGCCAGGACATCTTGCTAAAGATTGTTGGAGGAACAATTTTCGACCGGTAGCAAGTGATCAGGCCCATTCATCTGCGGGAGGAGCATCAGTGACAACTCATACAGTTGGCCAACAGCATGCCAATGTGAGCCAACAAGGTAGCTCAGCAGAGACAACGCCAGTGGCCAGGAGAAGTGAGAATAGTGAGCCAATCATCTTTGAGTTGAGAGAAAGAGATGATGAGCTAGAAGATCAAGGAGTTTGAGTCATTCACACACTTCTACATTGGAGATGATTATGAGCCAGAGTTCCAGGAAGTTGAGGAGATTGACATCTCAGATGATGAACCCATGGTGAGGAGACTTGGGAGGAGAATGGGGACGTGGCCATCATTATTGACAGTGGAGCTGATGCAGCATTATTTCCTTTGAGTCTTTGAGTATGGCAGATCATGGGGAAGGAGAGCTGGAATTGAGCCCAAAGACCTAGCCACAAGCGCGCAACGAATCCGTGCGAAAAGTGTTGAAATTTCTTTGCGTGACCTTGATGGGCGAGAAGTTCTTCTCAAAGAGAATGCGACCTTCAGTTCAAGGGTGAATCAACCCACACTTTGTTATGGAAGGTTGATGGAGCATGGTTGGGGAATCGCTAGCAGAGAGCAAATGTTGGACTTGAAGGCGCCACTCAACCTACAAAATCGCTCTTTGACAGTTCAAGGCCGCATTAGAGTCATCTGAGATGAAGATGAGAGCTGCTTGGAGGCCCAGAAAGAATCAGGTTCGAGATTCAATCAGCGGGACTGCTGGTTGGAAACTTATTGGCTTCAAGATTTGTGGATCCCACAGTCATTCCAGAGCTAACGAGAACAACAGGATGATGCAAAAAATACTGTAGATTGATGTTTGAATATTGTGGAAGCATGATGAAAAAGGAAGAACTCGATGAGCAGTTCTTTGATGATGATGCAGTCATTCCTTGAATCACAATCTTCAGTTTTGAGCCAGCGCCGCCAGAGGGTTTGGGATTCTTTGCGCCAGGATACAAGAAGCTAGAGAACAAAGAGCAGAGAAGAAAGAAGCGCAGCAGGCAATAGAAGAGATTACCCCTACTTGGACCTACTCGGCAGTTCAGGCAGTGGCTCTAAGCTAAAGGTCTACACCAAGATCCTGGACTTGTTGAATGCCAAAAGCTTGGTGAGTGAAGCAAAGGCTTGGGGAACAAGAGAGGCATCAGCACAAAGTGTTGCAAAGATGCCAGATGAAGCAGTTCAAGCGAGGCGCAGGTTGACGCGCATGCCATATGCCAATTCGTGTAAGGAGTGTATTGAGCACCGAGCAAGTCCAGATCGCCATGAGAGAACAGATGGAGTAAAGAGAGGAGGTATTCCTGCGGTAAGTTTTGAATTTTGCTACACAAGAGCAAGGGACTCAGAAACAAAGTCAGCAAGAGCAATATGTTGGCTAGATGCAATTGACAGCCAGACTGGATTCATTCAAGTTGTGCTATTAGGAAGCAAAGGCCAATGTCGTCTTATTGCGCAAGAGTAGATGCTGAATTTTAATACAATGCCGGGGTACTCAGCGACCACCTACAGGAGTGACAATGAATCCACAACAACGCAAATCCCAATGCTCGCCACAGTCTAGGGCTCACTACCACTTAACTCCAAGCTTGGAGACCTCTCATTTCTGTCAGAGAACACAGTTGACAGGGTGAGAAGGCTTGCAGGAACTTTCATTGAAAGTGTGCAGTCAAGACTTGGTATCAAGATTGGATCAGACCATGCACTTTGCAGCAAGACATGCCAGTTGGGTCCTTAACAGATTTCGTGCAACTTTCTGTGGGCTTGTCTATGGCAAGAGTTCTAAAGGACTTCTAGCAGAATATGGTGAACCAGTTCATGATTACATCAAGAGCCTCAGCAAAGGGAAGCAAGATTGCATTTATGCCAAAAGTTGAAAGGCGAGACACCAATTTGCTTACAGATGGAGTGCAGGTAGCGCTCAGCAAATGCATCAGAAGAACAGATCAAGATTGGTCCAAATACTTACCCAGATACAAAAGCTTCAATGCCTTTTCATGGGACCGTCAAACCATCTTTGGAGAAGAGAACAGTAGAAGCTTTAACAGCAGCGCAGACAGACATCCCTCGAGAGCGCGTAACGCTGAAGTTCAGAGATGAAGATCCTGCAGTCATGGCAAAAGCAATTGAAGGAGGAAGTGATTCAGAGAAAGAAGAACCATTGTTCCCAGAAGCAATGGAGGTTCCAGCCCCACTGGAAATCCCTCTTGAAGCAATGAAAAGAGACGGGGGTGAAGGGAAGCCAAGTGGCGAGGACACCAAGTAAGCAGCAGAAAGTTCTCTTCAGCGCAGCGTAACTCAATTACTCCTATACTATCTTCATTGAGATCACCACGCCGTCAAGACCAAGACAAGCAGTTGAATTGCTTGAAGAGGAGAGCCCAAAGAAAAAACTCAGGCCATCAGATGATTCAAGCAAGAAGGCCAAGACCAACATGGTGAAAGTTGGAGGTGAAGATCTTTACCATGTAGACGAAGGGTGAAGAAGGTGAATCAGATTTGGAAAAAGTAAATGGACCTGAGTGCTTGTTGCGGGATGGAGAACATGAACCTGAAGGAGATCCAGAAGAATGGATGAAACCAGAAGGCAGCACAAAAGGAATCAGTTATTTGACAACACGCAGTGTGTATGACCGGAGGAAGAAACCATATCAGCTTGGAGGTGGCATTTCAGTCAAGAGGTGGAAGAGAAGGTCAAGACTAGTTGCAAGAGAGTTTGCTTTCGCTGAAGGAAAGAGAGATGATATTTTCTCACCAGCGACTTCAGGACACGTGCTGAAGCTTCTACCCACAATATTCTTGCAGAAGAAGAAGCAAGAGGGAGAGAAGGAGCGCTTTCACAGGTACTGGGGTGTCTCGATGTGAAAGATGCGCTCCTACAAGTTCCACAAGAGAGGCCATTGAAAGTGAACTTGAGAGGAGAAGAATTCTTGGTGAAGAGAAACCTAGCTGGACAAAGAGTTGGAGCAAAAGCATGGTTTGTGTTTTTTCTCTGCGTGCTCACGAAGGAACTCAACTACTGTATAAGTTCAGTGCTGAGTGTCCATGCCTAGGAAGAAATGAGAAGGGTATCGGTTTGATCCATGTGGATGGCTTGATTTTCACAGGAGACTCAGAGTACATCAATGAAATCTTTCCTCCAAAGATTCAAGGCAAATTTGACACCAGTGTGAGCAAGAAAGTACAGACTAGAAGTTGATGGACTTTGGATCCAACCAGGCAACTACATCCAGCAGATGCTGACAGCCTATGAAGAGCAGATAGGATTGATCAAGCTCCAGCAACTTCCATCAGACAACTCAACCCACATGGAAGACAAGTCAGAAGTCTTACAAGAGCAAGAGAAGATTGGCCTTTTTCAGAAGCATTGTTGGATCAGGTATCTACCTATGTCAAGAGAGGTATGATGTAGCGTTTACAGTGAAGGAATTGGCTTCAAGAATGTCAAGCCCTACAGCTATGTCATTTCATCACTTGAAGAAGTTCTTGGGATACTTGAAGAAGACGGTGGACTATTGTCTAGTAA